TTTCAAATTAAAGTCACCATAATAATTTTCATAATTACAATACAATATTTACGTTGATATCATAGTCATAGACATATTACATTTTAGTCGTAGATACATTACAGATACATTTAACATTATTCCCGCAGAAATGAATGCAAAGACTTTATTTATTTACCGACTCGATGTATTTATCGACCAATCTTTCTGAAAACGGCTTGGAAGTTGGAAAACACGGCAACGTAAACATCCCATTGGAAATCGGAGAACTGTATATAAAGTGTAGTTATTTGGTAGGAAAAATTTAAAATAAGTCGGCAAGGCGTCTATAGTTTCGCTCCCCTGCGGCGCCTAAGAAACGTGGAACATGAAATGTTTTTGGAAGGAACATTTTCTGAGGTTCTCCGAGTGGCTTGAACGTTCAAATTTCGTGAGGTGTCAGGAACATGCCTCGAGGAACCGAAAATAACTATGAATATTTTTCTTCTTCCACCGTCGAATGGAGAATAGACAGAGAATCGTACCTAATAGCTTCATAACACTGTGTCATATTTTACCATTCGTTTTTAATTTAGCTACATATATCTTTCTGTAATCGTAAAGACATAGACAAAGTGATTGTGCAGGAAAGAATAAGTCATTGTTTTTATAATAGCTATCGCGATACATACTACATTAACTAAAAATCGCGGGTTACTCACGTGAATATACTGAGAAAAGCTCTACTAGTTTCGAACCACAGAGGGGTTCTTCCTCATGAGCAGCGTACGCGATCGCTACGTTGTCGCGCAGCCTACTGGTTGACCAGTAACCCGCGATTTTTAGTTAAATAAGTCCTTGGTTTGACTTCCAACACTCAAGAGTAATAGTGACTGTTTACTTTTAGAACTTTATTACAGCTGCAGGACTAATAATGTTATCAGGTGTATTTTATTACACTCCTAATTCATCAAAACTGTATTTATCTACCACTACGTAATACCACCTCCATTGGTTAATACTCAGTACATCTGAGATTTCCATTTCGCTTATCTGGCTCAGATATCCGCACGCATTTTTTCTTTTGCATCGCTTGCTTATATTTTCTCTTCGTTCCGTTTGCTTGTCGCTATTTAATGAAGTCTTTCGTATAATTATTTATATTTGGTTTTGGTTAAAAAGAAATTTCTGTGGTTTTACGATACCTATCTTAAGTAGGTACACAAAGGTATTTCAGTTAATGTTTGATTAGTGATTTGTTTCTATATTGCTACTAAATAAGACATCATCAATTTGAGAGAGTATAATCAATTTGAAGTTGTCTGCTTAAGTAACAGAACCAAAACCATGAAAGTTTTTTATATGATAAGTCGGTAATCGAGCACACGGATCCCTAATAGTAAAAAATCGGCGACTACCATGGACACCCGGAACACCAAAGGCGTTACAAGTACCATACCGGCCTTTTGGGGATTAGGATTTTGAGCATTGTTGGGAATTCAGGGATTGGGGAGGGGGTAACCTCACTTATGTGACGAAACACAACTCAAGAGTAGTTTCACGTCAGTTTTCTGTGAGGAATAATAATAATTATGTATTTATGTTAGTATGGCAAAGTATTACTGGGTTTTTAAAAAATCTCAGTAATCGTAGAGTAGAGTCTGGAAATGTGCCCGGTATATGGCAATAGGCTCACCCCCTATTACATGGGACTCATAACATAAATAGTGAAAAGTGGATGTTACATTATACAGTGCCAAAATGTGCACCTCTGCCTAAAAAGGCGTGATGTTATGTATGTTATGTTATGTAAATTGTATAATAATTTTGTGTTTTTGTAAATACTGTATGCTATTCAAATCGATGGTAAAATGTACTACATTTGTGTAGGTATTACGGTTAATTTATATCATTAGATTGTTAACTACTATTAGGTATCTAGAGTCTGGAAATGTGCCCGGTATATGGCAATAGGCTCACCCCCTATTACATGGGACTCATAACATAAATAGTGAAAAGTGGATGTTACATTGTACAGTCGCATTAAGTGCCAAAATGTGCACCTCTGCCTACCCCTTCGGGGATAAAAAGGCGTAATGTTATGTATTTATGTTAGTATGGGAGGATTTACACGTCTGGTTACCTCCAAACAGTTTACAACATGTTATTTACATTCAAATCCAACAGTACGATTTAGTAACAAGCATGATTAACACAATCCTAATATCATAAACACGGATTATTAACTAGAAAATAACACGAAATATTACAACATAACATTCACCAACCGTAACTTAAATCCACTTCATTTCAATTTTAAGTCCCAAAGTCCAAAAATAAACATGTCAATTTCATTGGACCAGCTACATAGATCGGTAAATCCCGAACGAGAAATCCAAAAAGAACCGGTAGCTAGCCGGAATCGAACCGGAGACCTTATTGATCCGACGTTAATGCCTTCTAATCCACTTAGGCAGTCTTCAGCAGTAAGAATGAGTGGCAGGGCTTACCTCCTAGACAACGTAACGTACTGCTCTACTTGTGCCCTAGTTGCAGTTGCGTTTTGAAATATCAACGTTTCAATGAAGATTAAAATTTAAAAGTTTGAATCTGTGTTCGTTTGGTTTTGCCGTGACAACTGCTGTCAGTGTTAACGAAATTTTTAAGAGCAGTGTTTTATTTGTCGACTTTGTAGTATTCTTTACGTAAGTTGTGTTATTTTATCATGATCTCTCTTGTAAAAAGAACTAGTTTTTTTTAAACGTTGCCGCACCCTGGTTTTTTTCTTTTGTGTCGTGGGTGCGTTACCCGAAATAACAATATGTGGATCACACAAAGAGTTGCTTCGAGCGGCAATCGAACCCACGACACGTTGCGCGGCAGCCGGTTGCCCAGCCATAGCACCAATCGTGCCGTCAAATGAGAAAGAATTAGTTGCTTTCATTATTTTAGATTATATTACTTATTTAAAACTATTCGAATGGGTTTACTTACTAGAAATTTATAGAAAACTTCCCTTTAATGTTATTGACATTCATTTTACATTTTCTTGAAATAAAAATATAACTAAACTCTTACTCCTCATTTCATGAAGCATCCATTATTGTACCTCTAGAAGCAAAGATTTTAATTTTTGAGTTGTTCGTTACAAATTCAATACTAAATCAATCAATCAATCAAACTGCATAGCATATTCAATAAACAGTACCGAACCCCGCTGCATCATACTAAAGCCATAACCGCACGCTTTACATACAGAATCCGACACACTATGAATTATTGAATGGACTCAATCGCGTATATGACAATGTGAACTGACAGACGGACAGATAATTAGCAAATGGGTTTCACTATAGATAGGGACGAGCTATGGGCTCGCGTTTTGGAGATATTTTCGAAGTGATACGGGTATACGAGTATGCGGTCCCGATATGTTTGTTGCGGTGTTTTCAGTTCGTTTGATGATAAAATAGTTTATTGGAATTGATAGAATTATTTAAAATGAATGAGAAGAAGTGAAATCTATTAAATTATTTTAATCATCATTTTATAATAAGTATCTAATAGGTCGTGTAGATGTAAATAAATATCTGTCCTACGCAACATCAAAACCAACAGCCCATAATAGTCCTCGACTGCATTTACAGATATATCTGAATGGAGCCTTTACTAACAGCAATAACCAGACCACGACCTTACCAAATACCCATTAGATCAATATTCCACACCACTATCACCGCCACAATAAAAACTCCTTATAACCCTAAATGACCTTTATTTTCCGCAATATCATTCCCAACATATACTTTTAAAAGCCCAGAACCCTGTTTATTTATAATCTAATCCTGGTTCGTCGGTAGCCATCAATAATTCATACAGCTGTGAATTATAGCCACAACGATCTTTAAGGATTTCCTCTCGGTTCCAAGATCCTTCTCCGTGCTATTGTGAGATGATACTGTTACTTTTGCAGGCTATTGTGACGGTTATATACTTGCAAATGAATGGTAAGACCCTTGAATATGCGCATAGGTATCGCTGTGATTTCGTTTAAATGAAAATATGCGTTAGTTATGAAAGAATAAGTGGTGATTTTGTTTTTTGTGGTATCGAGTGTAACTTTTGGAGATGTCTGAACTAAAATGTCTTCTTTTGAGTATTTTTATAGTAAGTAGGTACTGTGTGTAGGTAAGACTTGCTAAACTTGTTGTGACAGTTCTTTGTAATCTCTTTTATAATAAACTAGCGACCCGCCCCGGCTTCGCACGGGTGCAATATGCATGTATTATACATACAAACCTTCCTTAAGAATCACTCTATCTATTAAAAAAAACCGCATCAAAATCCGTTGCGTAGTTTTAAAGATCTAAGCATACATACGGACATACAGCGAAAGCGACTTTGTTTTATACTATGTATTGAAGGTAAGATATAAACGTAAGAAAGAAAGTTATTTCTGAAATACCTCATAACCACAAGCTACTGTGTGGCTTCATAATGTACTGAGCAAACATCGTTCAACTTGCTCGAATAAAATAATTCCATATCTTAATAGTGGTAGGTAGCAATAGCGAGACCCTTCTCACGCCTTCTAATAGTGACGCGGACTGTAATCCGGTAGGACTATGGGTAACACCTTACAGGTACCCGTAAATATTTTAATACGACACGTCTTTCTATACATTTATAATATCACGAAGGTTTTGGAAACTGGGTTTGTAACGAATGAATAAATGATCAATGTCTGATGTATTTAGGTCCCTTTTACCTTTTCTTTTTCGGTTAAAATGGAATTATTTTCTAAATACTTCCTTGTTGATCTCAATGGCCGATGTTCATGGGTCTTTAATGGGTTGCTTCGTTACGTATTCTTATATTGTTAGAGTATTAGCTACCGTCGAATGTTGTTTTAGTTTCCAAGAAATATCCAAGTTGACTGAAATTATGCCAAGGTCACGGTAATTCAATAGTAGTACGTTTGGGATTATGTCCAATGTGTCCAGTATCGCGAACACCAAAACTTATTTTTTCACTCAATACTTTTATGTCTTTCATTTCATTTTTAGCATTAACATAACCTTTATTAACATCAACATTTTTAGTAAAACAATTAAGTATATTACCTACTTATATTAACCCTAGCAGCCTCCTGTAGTATGCACCATTGATTTTCATTACTTCTATGACTGGTATCTTATCTCTTGATTCTCCACTTAGGGTTTCTACAGAACGTGAGTCCAAATGATCACCATCAGGTGAAGGATCATTCAGAAGTTTCAACGCTTCACGAGAATCCATCACGTTTTTGACCTCGTTATTTTGATTCTTATCATCTTGAGTTTGAGGTGTCTCTTCGCTTGATTCATATTCTTCCTTTTGCGACTCTTGTAATGCTTGCAGCTGTTCTTTACCGGCAGATGATGCCTGATTCTGTGCAAGAACATTTATCGTTTGAGGTTTTTCTGATGTATTTTGTTCGTGTTCTTGATTTGAACTTGAATAATCCATCACTTGGTTTCTGGAACATAATTCATCAAGAAAATAAATTTCTAATTTTAGATCACTTATTATTTGTTAGTTTTGCAATGGTAAAAGAAGTAGATAGGTTTCGGTACAACATATTGTTTTTTATGAAATAGCAGGCTTCCGAGCAGACCGATCACCTGACGGTAACTTGCGTTCATCGCCGTTCATGGACGCCCGCAACACCAGAAGAGTCACAGGTACATTCGTTAAGGAAACTTTGTGGATTCAAAATGAATATATACTATAGTTTGTTCGTTAAATACACACTCGGTATTTTATGAGAAAAATATAGACACCTAGAACTAGTAATAGCTAAGTCTTCATTGAAAAAAATTCACCATCAGAATCTTCAACTCACCCATAACTTTCATTAATTCTGCCAATGATTACGTTCCTCTGTTCCTTCATTTCTTTGACAAAATGTTTGGCTGCTTGAGCTGCAAATTCTTTAGCTAGCACTCCAATATAATCATCAGACATAATATTATCAAATGTATTTCTAATTTGTTCTGGAGTTAGTTTCAATAGTATAGGTTTAGTAGTCGGGATCATCTGAGCCACTGCACAGCAAAAACTGAACAATATTAGAATTTTTTTCAACATTATTTTATTTTCTAAACTGCACTAGCCATTGTTTCTTTCATTGCGCGTGTAAATAAGATTTCAATGTCTTATGGTGATTAATTTTATAGTATCGTAAACTGACGACTGATAACATATTCAATTGAATAACGTGACTTATTCGGATAGAACTGGAAAGTTATTGTGTTATACTAAGCGTTTGTATTATATGCTTTTTTTCCTGTTATTTATGATTGTGAAATTACTTTAAAACTTTTGAATCTAAAATTGTATTCTGATCAAGCTATAAAAGAATTAAGAAGGAGTAGGGCAATTTAGTTTGTTCTCGTTTAAAATCTGAAATAAGTTTCATTTTACTCAGATTAAAAAGTAACATCCTAATGATATTTGGTGAGTTACTATAACAACCGTCAAGAATTTATTGTGACAACGTTTCCTACGTTTTACATCCGATACCGATACCAACTTATAAAGTAACTAGGGCAACATAACATTCATAGAGATTACTAATAAAACATTGTCGTCAGCCTGGTCAATCGATTCACTTAATAAAACTTCCTGTAACGTAACTACTACATTATGAACCCCTGGCATTTCTATTTCACTTTAGGTCTTACGTCAGACGGAGCTGAAGGCGACAACGTCATGGTCTCCTCTTTTTAAAAAACATAACATTCTCAGACTACAGTTTTTCTCCTATGTAGTTAACAACATTAGTATTGTGAAGGTATTGAAGCTACGATATGTTACAGAGCAGTGGTTACCCAACTGTGAGGTTAAACGAATCACACGATTCTTAAAAGATAGTACGTGAACAACTGACCAAAATAAGATGTGCCCTTTATCTCGTACTAAGCATTAAGCCTTCCTTTTAAGAGCAACTGGTACAATATTCCGATGATTAATTGATGTTTTAGTTTAGGTGTGTACACCAGGCCCCATTGGGCCTACCTTATTATTGCTCACCAGATAACGATAGTGTAAACCTCTTGTTCTTTGCCCAATAGGAAATCAGCCAGTGTCACAATATTGGACGTTATATGTTTGACAACTGCTATGATTGGACGAAAGGACTTCTTCCTACATTTGCGCTATTTGGTGAGCTAAAATACGGCATGCCCCCATTATAGGCCGTAGCTTAGTATTGATCCCAAATAAGACATAAAGTCTGATATATCTATGTGTTTTCATACTTGACAGACTTTTGGTCGTCAATCTAGAAATGTTTGTGGAACACGTTCTATTACAAACCAGTCTGGTCGAACTTCAGCCTTTCTAATACACATGAACAGAGCACATTTTTTTTTGAAGATTTTAAAAATTATTTAACTCCAATAACAAAAGCAAACTTCAATTGCTAGAAACTAGCAACTATATTTATAATAATTATAGTGAGAGATGCTGAACTAACTAAAAATAATAAAAATAAACTAATACTCACATAAATATACCTACTGAGAAAAGCTCTACTAGTTTCGAGTCACAGAGGGACTCCTTATGAGCAACGTGCGCGGTCGCGGCGATGTCGTAAAACCTATTGCCTACAAGTAGAACTTTTCTCAGTATATTTTCGTGAGTAACCCATCATTTTTAGTTACCTCACATAACATAACTTTACGTCTTATCCTCGAACGGGTAGGCAGAGGTGTACATTACGGCATTTATGCCACTGTACAATGTAACACCCACTTTTCATTATTTTATAAAGATAAAGATCGTTTTATTTGCCAAAACATATGTAGGTTACAATAATACATGCAAAAATAAATGTTTACTATAGATGTACAGTATTGTTTGTATCAACACGCTTAACCATGACTGGTGTCTGGTGTACGACATTTATGTTATGAGTCCCATGTAATAGGGGGTGAGCCTATTGCCATATACACATTTCCAGGTTCCGTGCTATTACTGAGATTTTATTTAAAAACCCAGTAATACTTGCCCGACCTGGGAATCGAACCCGAGACCCCTTGCCGGGCAATCGCACTAGTGACCACTCGGCCAATAAGGCAGTCGCAGTTAACTTGTAACTAAAAAAACTCCAAGCGTTCCATATACACTAGTCAAGCAATGCAAAATGATCGATACAGTTGATATGAAGCATGACTTCCCTCTTCAATAATGTACTGCGAGCCGACTGGTTCAGTTAGACGTGCATTATTAACGCGTCCTACACTAGGCGGCTGTTTATTAATGTTCTTACTTATTTAGCGTCATCACCGCACTGATTTGAGGTTATCATGTCCCGGATGTGTGGCGGTTGAAATGCGTAGATAGGAACTTTGGTGAAAGTGTGGGAGAGCCATACTACGGCCCGGATGGACCGGCTCGACCGGAGTGATAACACGGCCTCACAGAAAACCGACGTGAAACAACGCACTCCGTTGTGATTCGTCGTGTGAGTGAAGATACCAGAAGTGCTATCACCCCCCCCCCCTCCCAAGTCTCTCCAATCTCCGAATCCCCTACAATCCTCAAATTCCCAATTCCCAAAATATGCCGGTAATGCACTTGTAACGCCTCTGGTGTTTCAGATGTCTATGAGCGACGCCGATTGCTTACCATCACGCTATGTTAAGCAATATAAACTGACCGTCGAATCTGTGGAAAGACCATCTATAGCAAGACCATGATATACTGGTGTTGTATAACTTTGTATGTACCTACTGTAAAACTTACAGTAGTGTAATCTGCAGTTAAGCATTAACAATATCTAGCACATAAACGTTTCCCAGACATTTTCTACAAAGTAACAGATTTCCAGTATAACGACTAATAAAAATAAAGGTTTACTTGATTGTTTGTTTGTTTATTTTGTGAAGTTATTTTCCTAGCAATTACTTACATTGTTTCAATCTCTTTGTTAGTACTTTGTAAACGGGTAGCAACATTAGTAGGTAATTGTGGTAGGCAGATGCAACTGTGATATTATCATGGTTATAGGCCTCGGTTATGACTCGAAACTAGTCGAGCAACCCTCAAATATTAACTTGAGTAAGTAAAGATTCTAATTTTAATAGAATTCGAGGTTGTAGACATAGACCAATAAAGCATCTAAAAACAGAAGTTTTTGACAACAAACTAAATATTAAAGAACTGTGAAACCAAAATTCCTTAATTTAATAATTAATTCAAGTGCTTATACTACGCTAAAATTAGACTAGTCTCTGCCTGTAGTGCTTTTAAATTATTAAAAACTGTCTGACCTTTTGCAAAGTGTGTAACGTCTATTTACTGAACACTTCTAGGGCTCGTTAATGACCTATGTTTAAGTTATTACTGCTAGGTTATTTTTGGCCCTATTTTTAAGTTAGTAGCAAACTTCGATTTTTACCTCTTGCTTGAAAGGATAAAGTGGCACAAAGACAATACTGTTAAATATACAAAGAATCCTCATTGACCGAGTGGTCACAAGTGCGACTGCCGGGCAAGGGGTCTCGGGTTCGATTCCCGGGTCAAAAAATTCACAGTAGTAGCACGGAGTCTAGAATTGTGCCCGGTATATGGCAATAGGCTAACCCTCTATTACATGGGACTCATAACATAAAATTTATGTAACACAAGTGGGTGTTACATTGTAAAGTGGCATTAAGTGCCGTAATGTGTACATACCCTCGGGGATAAAAGGCGTGATGTTGTGTATGTAAATCGAAATTTGCTACTTACTTAATAACACAATTCGAGACATCATATACTGTAGCCACTGCTGGGTAATTCGTTTTTTGGCCACTATCCCGCCTGGTGATAAGCGATGATGCGGTTTATGCCTCTATATCTAAATGCCTCTTCTCAAACTGAGAAGCAAGGTGGATTAGCGATTACAAACTTTACCTTCATACATTTGATAACTAGATTGTCTCTTAGTTCTCCAAAGAGCGAACGAGCGCAAATTAATTTCAGTAATTAATGAGATATGATGCGGACGGTGTTGAGGCGTCCCACGGGCAGTCCGCTATAGTACATACTTGAGTTAGCAGCTTAACGCAAAACGTTACATGTCCTGGTTTACTATCCCTTGTAAATTAAACAAAACAGCACCCGAACATTTCTCGATGATAAAGTCGAGTCACTACAAATGAGACTGCAGTGTTTGGATGTTTTTAAGTGTCCATGGGCGACGTCGATTGCTTGCCATCAGATCTGTCTGCTCGTTTACCCCATATAAAAAATTACTGTTAAGTAAAAAGTCTTTTTTTTTATGGAATAGGAGGCAAACGAGCAGACGGATCACCTGATGGTAAGCGATCAGCGCCGCCCATGGACACCCGCAACACCAGAAGAGTCACAGGTGCGTTGCCGGCCTTTTAAAAAGGAGTACGCTCTTTTCTTGAAGGTTTGAAGGTCGTATCGTTATTAGGGTATAGAAATATCCTCAGCTCTATAATATAGGACCTGTAACATACATAAACGAATAGTAAACTACCAACCTTATTCTTTTTCTGTCAACTTCTTCGAGGAAGAATAGTTTCTAAAGTGATCTAAACACACAACGCCATTCTTCATCAATTTCAAATGGACTCTCCAACCCGTTAGAGCAATAAAAATTTATTAGCCAAACGCCATCAATTTTCTAATTCGGTCATAAAGAGACGTCAATAAAGTACATGGATAGTAAATAAGCTGTATAAAGGAGCAACAAGGACGTGTGGAATTTGATTCGACTATCACGGGCGCAATAAAAAGTTATGCTTTGCCCGTAACATGCACCACGTAATTCAATAGTAAGTGCTAATGTCCTATGCGCGTTGAGCCACGGTACGATACGCTTTTCTACCAGGAGTGTATGCGGTGGGGAGTGGTACTACAAATGTTTTTACTAAAACTAAAAATGTTATTTCTAATCCTATTGAGTACTAGCTGACCCGGCAAACGTATTGCCATATAAATATCATAATAATATCACGCCTTTTATCCCCGAAGGGATAGGCAGAGGTGCACATTATGCCGCTGTACAATGTAACACCCATTTTTCACTATTTATGTTATGAGTCCCATGTAATAGGGGGTGAGCCTATTGCCATATACCGGGCACTATTTCAGACTCCGTGCT